AAAAAATCACTCTTTCATGACAGATGAAAATTATATGAAATTAAAACTGTGCCCATAAATAAAGTTTTATTATAACATAGCCTCACTCATGTATTTACATATTGACTATGTCTGCTTTCACATTATAACAGCAGAGTTGAGCACTTGCAACAAAGGAAACAGGACCAGCAAAGCTTGATTTATTTGAACCTTTACAGAAAAACTTTCATTAAGTCCTATTCTAGAGCCTAGCTTACTACTATATTCTAAGAGTGACTCTAAAAAAGGCAAAAGAATGACATCTTGGACAGATATATTTTAGAGTCTGAACTAAAACGTTTAATGTTGCAAAATACCATCTCTTTGAGTTATAGTCTTAAATATAAAGATATTTCTATTAACATCTGGTATTCATTATATAATAACACAAAGGTTAATGCATTGTAATTATTTCTTTATTGATGTATTTTACCCTGCTTTATCAAAAGAGATCTGAGATATTTTCTACTTGTAATAAGGTTTCTGATTTCAATACTTAATAAACTAAAACTCTAGATTAAACTGATTAAACTGTCAAAGTAAAATGGTACTTACAATAATAACTAACACATATTGAAAGTACTATGTGCAGGTACCATTCTAAGCATTTCTAGGTACTCACAATTATCCTCTATGAAATAGGTACTATTATTATCCTAATTTAACAGATAAAGAAACAGGCTTAAAGAGCTTAAAGAGCTTCCCAGAGGCCACACAGTTAAGTGGGAGAGCTAAAATTTGAACTCAGGTCATCTGGCTCTAGGATCTAAAAGGGATTCAGCTATGCTACACTGCTACTAGATTACAATCCTTCTATTAAGGCAAATTAAGGCCTTTAAACAAATGAATAAAATGTCTACATTTATTTTTCTAAAAAAACAAAATCTAACTACTAGTAATTCGTACCACCTCAAAAGAAACATTTAGGTTTATATTCTTAATGGTAGAGTTTGCATAATTGTGTTCATCTTTGCAGAGCTCTTCTGTACTCTGCATACATACACATACAATTGGATTAATTTGCTTGTACACCCTAGAGTCTACCACAGTCCCGTAAGCCAAGAAATGAGGATCAAAAAGCTTCACTAGGTATTCAATAAATATTTACTGAGTGAATAAATGAACAGAAAAAGTTAATTTCATAAACCATTAGGTACAAATATCATTAAATGGTTTGTTGACCTGGAGTGCACTAGGGCTGGATCACAAAAGTCTCTGGCTTTGTAACCCTTAAACTGTGTCTGGTCTGTTCTTGAGCTTTAACCACCTTCCACGCTAGTAAGTTTTATAAACAAATCACTCATTATACACCCATCAAACAATAGTCATCTTTGAAGCTAGCTCTAACTTTCCAGGATTATTATTAATGATTTTCCTAATTCAATACACCTTAAACATCATTGTCCATCTCAGTCTTCAGCAATCCATTGCAGAGTCAAATTTCTTTCATCTTCTTAAAAAAGCCTCAGCACTTATACTGCCATTTTCTGGAAATCTTCCTCCTGCTTAATTTATTCTTCCTTGAGGTGCAACAGTTGGAATACATTTAACATCTTATGAGCAGACCCATGTTTTGTACTAAGATAATGCAGTCCATTTTTAAACTTTATTTTTCATACCTCCCTCAGGAATGACTAACATTTTGTTGGCCATAAAGGCAACATTCTCAGGGATAAACTGACCACTTGGCCTAGCATTCTTTATATTATACTGATGTTCATTAGCTGTTTTTGTGTTCGTGTACAGACACAAAAGATTTATCCACAGTTTATCCTACTTGGCTACTACCTTCCTACACAGAAAAACTAGCTGTCACATACAACTCAGAGGTAACCTTATTTGTTATTTTAGAAGAAACAAGAATAGGTCTAATATTACCAAAAGGTGAACTCTATACTTGAAGACCTTGAGAAAACCCTATATGCCATACATGCTGGTCCTTCCTAGTACATAAAAAATAGTTTCCCCTCTTTCAAATCAAAATTAAAATGTACCTCATAATCTCTGGTATGTTTATTTCTTCAAAGACAAAAATAATATTGATCAGTACGCTGTCAGTTAATATGTCAATATCAGAAGTGAAAATTATTATCCCTTTTACAGATAAGAACTGAAACTCAAAAAAGTGGGACTCAAACTCAAAATTTTTTAAGTCAAAAACAGTATCTTTCCATTATACCAAAGCTTTTCCCGTAAGAAGTCATATTTGCATTCTTGTGAGCATAAATTTAAATATCAATAATCCTACTTCTTGTTATGGAAACCACTGGTTTGCCACATATAAATAACTTAGCTATGTGTTCAGGACTCCCTAGGGCAGAGGATCCATTAAACTAGGATCCATGAACTTGGATTGGAAAAAATTTATTCTTATTTTCACCAACCTATAATTAAATTAATTATCATTTCCTTCAATTCTGAATGTAAACACCACACCACAGCAGTATTAGTAAGACTATATCCCTGGTTATTATTTAATTCAATAAGAAAGAAATTTCCTGCATTTAAATTTTTTTAATATGTGACATTTTTAGACACTTCTAAAGATTTAAAAATCATATTCTAAGAAAGGGTTCAAAAAAAAAGAAGGGGTTCACAGGCTTCTTTAGACTACAAAGGGGTCCAGATGTGTAAAAAATATTAAGAACCCTGCTCCGGAGACCCTCAGGTTATCTGTCAATCCTTAATCCTTGATAGTTAAGGTATATAAAGGCATGTCACACAATTTACTCATAATCCTCTAGTCTGTTAAAATTACGGATAGCATTTAGTCCCCTTGATTTTTTTTTTATTTGTCAACTACATTTTCCTTTACTGAGCTCTTACTTCTAACCTAACAATGGAAATCTCTATTATGAATTTATTAAGCCCAGGTATTAAGTTTCTTTGTGATCAACTTTTCAACCCTAATCAAACCTTATTAGCAAGTCAATCCAATGCTTCTGCAACTGAATTTCTGACTTAATATACAGCCATGCATTATAATTAGCACACATCATATAGGTAGGTCACGGGGAAGGCAGTAAAGCACAAAGAGAAGGAGTGACTCTATAGCATCTTACTACTCTGATGGACAGTGATTGCAATGGGCGGGAGGGACTTGATAATATGGGTGAATGTTGAAGCCACTATGTAGCTCATGTGAAACCTTCATACGATTGTATATCGATGATACCTTAATAAAAATACATACATATATAATATATACACACATACACACACACACAACCATGGTCCAAGTATTTGTGCCCTGCCGTCCGCCATTCATATGTTGAAATCCTCACCCAAAAATAATGGGGGTGTATTACGTTGAACCAGAGCCCTCCTGATTAGGCTTAGTGCCCATAAAAGGTGTTTAGTATGTATTACCAACTATGCTCTTCTCATCCTCTGCATGCTACAGCCTATCACATAAAATTCTTATGCTTAGCAATCTACTTTAATACTTGTTATCAACTTCACTTAATTTTCCTACACAAACTCAAGAGTTTGTTACAATCCTGTCCCACTCTGACCACTCTAAAATCCACTGCATCCCAGCCTTTTATTTTGTATTAACTTGTATGTTGACATGTTAAATCCCCAAGTCAGTTTTAATCTTCTGTGGATAGGAGAGGTGTCCCATTATTCCTTCCCTAGTCCTATGTCTACACAAGTAAATAGCAAGTCAAAAGTTGTTACATGATACCTTTCCTTGGTAACACTATGACAAACTTTCATTAAGTGAAATTGTAACACCACAGTTCATGGTCTGATGCTTAGACTTAATCACATTTCCACCTTAATGTATTCAAAAATGTTTTTATTAGTCATAAACTTTTCTAATATTTGTGCTCTTTACAGTTATTTCCTATTAAAGACACAGACCTATAAAAATTGGTTTGAATTCTTTCAAACAAAATGTGGAGGAAAAAGACATAGTAAATTAAAATGGAATTTAATTCTTAAAAACACAGATATATTTTAGAATAGGTATGCAACTTTTACCATAAATAACCTAAACTCAAATTACCGTTTTATAGCAAGAGCTTGAGAATTTCAAGCATAAACCACCAGCAGCATTGAATGTTATTTAGCAATAAAAAGGAACAGTCCTAATATATGCTAACAACATGGATAAACTTTGAAAACATGTTAAGTAAAAGACAACAGTCACAAAAGGACACATATTGTATAATTCCGCTTATATGAAATGTCCAGAATAGGCAAATCTACAAAAATTGAAAACATGTTAATGGCTGCTAGAGGATGTGGAAAGAGATCTTTTTGGGGTGAACGTACAATTCTGAGTATGTTAAAAAACAAAACTGTACACTTTAGGAGTTTTTTGGTATGTGAATTATATCTCAACAAAGCTGTTACTTATAAATAAAAAACTGCCACTAGTAAATCACAATGAAAACTTCCTTTGGAAAGGAATCATGAAAGTCACTGATTGGACGAGGTCAGCCTCCTAATTCCCTCTCCTATTCCTACCAACAAGTACAAAACATGAGAACTAGACAGTGTATGACTCAAGGAAAAATTCGGGAACAGTTAACTAAAACAGTAAGTGCCTTCTTAGGTTCTATCACTCCTAAACTGCAGGGGGCTTCCACCCTTGGTGATCACGGAAGTAGTAGTTTTCATCAGCGAGCTCAAGAAGGAATGTCAAAATAGGATGACACTTACGTAGACTCCCTAAAAGACCATTAGAGATGTCACCTACAGAATCCTAAGTCTATGCACGTGTTAGGCTGCCCCCACTCAACACCAACAAGCAGCAAGTACCATTCATCCATATACCAACTTGCTCGCCATAAATTGACACACTATCAAGCCCTTAGATCTCATTTGTTTAAAAGGACAGATAAGGCCCTCATCGGGTTCCCACTCGAGCCCAAACAGCCCCCGCCCTGCCCCATTCCACCCCCAAACCCACACACGTGTTAGACCGACACCGCCCCACCGGGTCCCACGTGCACCTGGTCTAACACATTCCCCACGTGTGAGCGCCCCACGGGCTTCCTCAGCTGGCTGAGGTCACCGGATGACCCCGAGGTATGAGAGGGGAAGGATGAGGCCCAGGTCTCGTAAGCCCCAACCCTGTAGAGTGTCCACACCCATTCTCCCTACTAACCCCAACAAATCCAAGGGCCGGGGGCGACGTCCCCTTTAAGACGCGGCCCAGTAGTCGCCCGCTGAAAGGGGCGCTACGGGGCCTACACCTTCCCCACCTCCGTTCACCCGCCTACGTCTAGTTGCCTCACCTCGGGCCGCCGGGCCCCGCCGCCGCGGCGGCGGCGGAGGGGGGGCGGGGTGCGGGCGGGGTCCGGAGGGGGAGGTCGCCCCGCCGACCGTGGAGCCGCGGTTCGCTCTCTGAGACCGTGGGACGGTGACTGCGTTGGGCGTGGACGCTCCTAGCTCGCTCCCTCGGCGGCTCCTGGGACCCCAAGATGGCGGCGGCGCTGAGGCGGCTGCGGGCGCTGGGCCGGCGGCGGCGGCGGCCACTTTCACTCACTGAGAGGAGCGGAGCAGGGACACGGGGAGCCATGGCGGGGGGGAGGAGAGGCGCCATAGCCAGGCCAGAACAATCGAGCCGCTACACAGCTGGCTTACCCCCCGCCCCGCCCACGTTCACAGCTCGTCGCCAGTCTGTGGTCGCCCGCAGTGCAGCTGCCGTCTGCCTCGTGCAGCTCGCACCCCGCCGCTGCTGCCTGACACCCAACGCAGACCGGGGTTCGGGGGGAGACCTTGATCCATGCCATCTGAGTGCAGATTGGTCGGGGCTGGGACTGGCGAAGATTGCCGAAAGGCGGCGGGGAGGAGGATAAGGATGTCATCGCTAGAGTGAGCAAGCAGATCTCGCGGGAGCAAATGTCGCGAGACCTTACCAGGCTGCAACCGCCGAAATAAAAAAAATCCCGTTACTTTTCCCGGAAGTAACGTCAATCGAAACCGCCCAGGATCCTGGGAATATTGCTTTCGGCGGGCCGCAGATGCGAGGGTGTTTGTGATTAGTTTGTTAGGGGCTACCGAACACTGGTGAGGCCAAGATTGGCTAGAATGTGATATTTTATCCTGTTTCTGGCCCCTTTGGGCGGGTGTGTACATCGTGGGGGAAGTGCCTGCTGTGTGGAGCCACTCGTACCGCTGTTTGGGGCTCCCCTTTAGACTCAAGGACCAAGACCGCGATGCTGTAGCATAGTAAGACGATGTCTAAGTAGAGGCTTTAGGATTGAAGGACTTGGGAACACGCATATCTGCCATCGGAAATGTCTCCCTGTTGTCTCAACCACCCAATGAGCCTCAGAAAAGGAAATAATTAGTATGTCTGTGCCAACTCCGTAGGTTGAGCCTCTGCTACTCAGAGTTTCCTAAAGCTAATGCAACTCAGTGACCAGGGTCTGTCATGAGAAGTACCCAGTTTAGAACCTAACTACAGATAAGAATTAGAACTTACTGAAAGTTAACTATGCTATTTCAATTTCCTCACGTCTCAAGATTTAATTCATTTCAAGCTGGCCCTTGACATTTCAACACAACAGCATTTACTTAAAATCATTAGCCTTGTGAAAAATTCACTGGACTCTAAAAAGTTAATTTTGCTTGAAGACAAAAGTATATGACTGTAAGAAAAAAGGGGACTTATGAAGACACAAGTATCTGCTCATTTGTGGGAAAAATAGAAAGGATAAACCAGAAATTTAAGTGATTTATGTCATATGAGAAAGGTGGGAAGAAAGGGACGGAATGTGAATAAGATAGGATTGGCAAGGAAGAGGCAAATATTTTTGTATAGGACTGACTCTTAGAACCATAGTAGTATTTCACATACCCCAAAAAATAAATAACTAAAACTAACAAAAGATAATATTTGAGTAACACTTAGCTGACTGAAGCATAGGCCAAAGGAACAGAATAAAGGGAGAAAAGTCAATAAGCTAGAGAGGACTAAGTTGTAGAGTCCTTTAAAGTTCAAATGTAAATTGTCATACTCATAGAAATGACCACAAACATCCTAGCTTAAAGTAACATTGTTTTACAGTTCTGTAGGTCTGAAGTTTGACACAAGTCTCAAACTGGGCTAAAATCAAGGTGTTGTCAGGGCTGCCTTACTTTCTGGAGACCATAGGGAAGAATTAATTTCCTTTTCCAGCTTCCAGAGATGGCTTGCATTCTTTGGCTCCTGGCTGCTGTCCTCCATCTTCAAAGTACTAGTGGCAGGTTGGGTCCTTCTCACATCATATCTGACCAATTCTTACTGTTTTTGAAAATAATCCTTTTGATTACATCAGGCTCACCCAGATAATAGGAAATCTCTCTATTTTAAAATCAACTGAGTAGCCACCTTAAATCCACCTGCAACTTAATTCCCCTTTGCCATGTGACTTAACATATTCACAGGTCTGTGTACATCCTTGGAAGGAGAGCATTATTCTGCTCCCCCCATCTGTCCTAAAACTTCTGATGTATGTTATAACTCATCATCTTTCATCTCTTTCACACTAGAGTCCAGTTTTTTCCAATCTCTAATAAAGTCTTGTGTTCTTGGTTCTGTTTCTCCAAAAGGAGAAGTCTCTTCGGCTTTCTTTAAATATTGTTCACACTCATTAAATATGTAGCATTTTATTAGGGTAATGTTTAAAATACATTAGGAAATACAATATACAAAATATTACTTAATGATCATTTTAAGATAACTGATCAACTTAGGATATATATTTTATTTCCAATAATAAAGCAATAAACAAAAAAACCATGTTGTGAAGGGGGAGGTGACCCCAAAATGAATATAAACACTAAGAAATGAACTTACCTGTATTACAAATGAGTAACATAGCCACTGTGCAGTGGGAGGGGAAGAAACAGACTCACCTAAGTAACTGAGGGAAACAGTAAGTATATTGACTGGATACCTAAAAATAAAACCAGTTGAATTTAAGTAAATGCTGTGATCTATATACTACTATGTTTCTAAATGGTGGGGCTGAGTGGGTGGTGGGGGTGGGGATGCAGGTTAGCAATTTGAAAATTTGACACTACTATGTATCTGCTAGAATTAAACAAATATATTGCATTTCACAAGCTGGGTTTCTCACTGTTGGAGAAAAAATTATTAAGGAAAGAGGGAAAGCTAAAACGAAGCCTGTGGTGTTGGATTGGATTCTGAAGTATCAATATAAACTTAATGGCTTTTAATGTATGTATATTAGTTACAGATATACAGATTGTATGTATGGATTGATACATACATATTCTTAGGTCTATCTGCTGAAGAGTGTGAGTCAGTAGAGAATACCTAGTACCCAGAACTTGATTTCTAAAACACAATTCTCCAAGGAGAACCTTGGAGAAATAATTGATTCCTGGGCTGAGGCAGGAAAAATACGAAAAGGAGCCTGGAATATCTTGTACTGCCAGAAAACAATGCTCAAAAAAGGATGTCACAAGAACACAGGAGCCAACCAGAAAGAATTCCTAGTGGCCAAAGCAACAAAATATTAATAGCATAGCATTATGATCCATAGGCCCATAGATATTTAGTTTTATATTCATGCATTTTTACTGATATAAGTAAATAATTGGTTATTTAAGTGAATAGGGGAAGGGACAGCTCTTATACTTTCAATAAATACAGAAAGAGGGGTAACAAAAATCATCAGGGAAAAACCAAAATAATGTGCAGACAAGATACACTGATGGATGCTAAATTAGTGGGTAAAATTTTGAGAAACAGAATTTGTATAGATTCAACAGTTTCACCCAAGATACATTGTAGCACAATGGGAAAGACAGTAACATAATGGCGAAACTAAGCAGAAACCATCTTAACCAAGTGATCAAGGTAAACATCAGACATACAGTATGCTGTAGTAAGTTTCCTATGTATGTAAAAGTTGCTTCAGCCCTAAGGGTCTAAAACTGGACCAGTGGGTTCTGATAGATGGTCACTGCCCATACCATGGGCTTGAAAAGGGGAAGAAGAGATTTCTAAAAAAGGTGGGGTGCTCCTCTGAGTAGCCAAAACAATAAAAGTGTGTCAAATGGAAAAACAAACCCACAAAAGCACTAGAAGAAAGCATAGATTATTTTTTTTTCACCTTGGAGTGAAGGATCCCTTCTAAGTCTGCTATAAACTCCAAAACTCATAAAGGAAAAAGCTGCTAAATATAACAAACAATACAACCCAACCCAAAAATCACCACAAATCACATTTAAAAAACCAACTTCTTTAATATACAAAGAAGTTACATATTTTACATACCACATTTTAAAATTAACAGCAGTATAATTTCCTGTCTCTGGGAGAAACAGATGTAAGCACTATAGAAGAGAAAACAATTTGTTCACATTTGTTCAATAAGTATTTACTGACTACTTTATGTATGTAAGGCATGGTTCTCGGCACTGGAGATGTGGCTCTGAAAAAAAAAAAGAAAAATGCCAAAGGTTAATAAACACATGAAAAGATTCTCAACTTCATTTATAATCAAATAAACACAATTTTTTAAAAAATTGGAATATTATTTTTCACTTACCAAATTGGCAAAGATTAAGCTCAGTACAGGCAAATCTGAGGAAATATAGACACCGCTATACACTAATGAAGAAGTCTAAATTGGTAGCATCTTTTTAGAGAACTTTCATTTCTTTCTTTAATGTATCTGATTTGCTTGAGTTTTTTTTACAAGTATCTATTATTACTCTCTATAATTTGAAAAAAGATTATATAGTAGTCCCCCCATATCAGTTAAGTTACCTGAGGTCAACTGCAGTCTGGAAGCAGATGATCCTCCTTCTGACATCCTCAGAAGGTAAATAGTAGCCCAACACTAGGCTACAGTGCCTACATCATTCATCTCACTTCATCTCATCATGTAGGCATTTTATCATGACACACCTTCCCAAGATGAAGGGTGGGTCCAGTACAATAAGATATTTTGAGAGAGAGAAACCACACTTACCTAACTTTTATTATGGTATATTGTTATAATTGTCCTACTTTACTGTTAGTTTTTATTGTCAATCTCTTACTGTATCTAATTTATAAATTAAATTTTATCATAGGTATGCATGTTTAGGAAAAAACAATATATAGAGAGTTTGGTACTATTCATGGTTTCAGGCATCCACTGAGGGTCTTGGGACATATCCTCCATGAATAAAAGGGGTCTACTATACTTAAAAATGAAATCATAAAATACACCTATCCTTTTTTAAGGGCCTTTGAAGCTTTCTGGTTTGACAAGTGTGAAGTTACGGGAAGACATTTTGTTTTTCTACAGAGGCGCATTCTTGGCTTAAGTGATGAAAAGTAATTCTAGCTTTGTATTTTTATCTTTGACTCTTTCATTCAGCAAACATATACTGAGCTAATGCCAAGCAGTGTGCTAACCACTATTTAGCCTGTTGAGAGAGACATCAGATTAAATAATCACAGTATAATATGACAAGTGCAACAAAAGATGTATGTACAAAGTACTTTGGAAAGGAGACATTGGTAACTGCCAACAGACGCAGAGAAGACTTTTCTGAAGAGAGATATTTGAGCCAATTCATGAAAGACAAGGAGTCTCTTTTTTGCCATAGGCATACCACCCAAGAAACAAACGGAAATGGAAAGAACTACCTCGACATCAAAGTCATCAGAGAGGTAGTTTAAACAGGGCCTTTACCAGTTGAATTACAAATGTGGTGAAATTAAGAAGAGAACCATTGAGAGTTGTAGAAGGAGGATGCTGATGTGGAAGACACCTGGGCCTAGAAAATGAAGGCTGAGCATGAGCATGAGATCGTCATCAATATCTCCATCAAGAAATTTAAGACTTTAGTGCCCCAGATCTCAGGATCCTCACATAAAAACATAATTACAGGAACATTTCAGACTGACATTGCTGCTAATAAAATACCAGGCTAGTATCTCAAGGAATGGGCACACACTGATGAGCTTGGAATATCAGTCTGTATTTTTCTTTTCTTGTAATATCCTTTTCAGGTTTTTATCTCAGGGTAAAGTTGGCCTTACAGAATGACTTGGAAGTGTCTTTTTTATTGTACGAATGAGTGGTGTAGTTATTTTTTAAGGCTGTATTTGTTAGAGTTATATACTGAAATATTTACAGGGGAAATGACCACAGAAAAAACTGTGGCCCAGCTTACACCCACACCAGTAAAAGCTGAATGGGGAGCCTAGACTTTCAGCCTTTGCAGCCTATCACAAGGTGCCCCAACACCCTGGTAGGGTGGCATCAGAGAAGCCAAGAAGGAAGCCAGGACTTTCATCACATCTGGGGATAACAAGGACTGTACTCCATGGCATCAGTGGAGATTATGTGTCAATCTGGAACTCCAACTGTAGTGTTGGCTTATGTTGTCTTTTTTTAAAAAGTGAGGTCCATACAATAAAATGCACAAATCTTAGTGTGCAGCTCGACTAATTTTGGTATATGTATACACTCATGTAACCTTCACTAATTTTTTTCCCCTTCACCTATTTCACCTATTTCCCCTGTTCTTCACCCACCTTCCCAATGGTAACCATGTCTGTTCTCTGTGTTTCTGAGTCTCTTTCTGTTTTGTTTGTTCATTTGTTTGTTTTATTTATTTATTTTTCTCTAAGGGAATCTCATTTATTTATTTTTCTCTTATAGGGCACACTAACTCAAAATGTGGTCTTCGTATTTTTTTTTAAATTTCTGCCCAACATCAATGGAGTGAAGCTAAAGGAACAAAGCAACAAAAACAAAAAACAAACTAAAATAATCCCCAAACCAAAAACAACTGCCTTTGAAAGCTCCAAGCCATGGAGGATGTGAATGCTAGAATTTACTTCTCAGGTAAAATGTACTCCTAGACAGCTCTCCTAAGCCCCGTAGTTAAACAAATGTACAGTAAGTGCACAATCATTACTTGTGGGTTAAATACATTTATATTTTAGCCTGAAAAGCCAAGAATCCAGATGGCAATATAAATTGCTGAGTGTTTATTTTAATCAGTATCACAATTCTTCAGAGTTGTTGCTGCTTTGGGAAAATATTTCCTTCCTTTGTATGGTTTTAATTTTTTTGTATGCATGTGGTGAGGTAGTGTTACTTTTGTTCAGTCTGAGGAATAGGCTAAAACTGGTTCTAGCAGGAATTACTGAGGTTCTTTATAGAATTTTTATAAAATAACTATTCTGCAACATGAATAAACAGGTTATAGTGTCCGACTAATGTGCTTATGTAAATTGCTTGGACAAAGCGTTTACGATGTATTGCTAAAGCCGTTTTGTGGCTAATATACTGAAGATGGACAGCCAATCTACTGGCCAAAACACACTAAGTAAGACAAACAGAGCAGTGAGTATGAAATCCACTACAGAAGATTATGGAATTCTTAGAGCAGCGGGGAATAAGCTGTCCCTCTGCACAGCTGGGACTTTACGCCCGTCTTCCCAAGCAGTTTTCATATTCTAGGCAGATCGTTTAATACCTAGTAACTGTTTGAGGTAACCTTGCTCTAGGGGTGGGACAAATAGCTTGTGCCAGGGCTAATTCCTTAAATTTGGATTCAGACACTGTACTGCTGGCTAACCACATATCCTTTCAGAAAGCACTGCATTTCTAAATATGCCTAGACTTAGGTAGTCTTGTCCTTTAGAAATACCTTATTAACTGAGTCAACCTGTGGCTCACAAGTGAAGAGGAGCCAAGACAGAAGCCTCTGGGAAGGTCCAGCAACATGACATGATGCTTTAAGAGAGACTGTAAATAGATCAGGACTGGACTTGATACTTCTCAAAGTTTAAAGGACTACTGATGCCTGTAATTACAGTATTAATTAAAACCAAATTATCTGTATGTACTGATATTGGATTATTATGTTCAGATGTAAAGTTCCTATTGGGTAAGAGGGTAAGCCATATCCAGTGACTTTTGGCTTTTTTCAGAAGGCAGACCTTGCAATTGTCAAACATGCTATACAGTGGCTCACTTTCAACTGGGAAAACAAAGAATAGGGAGAGAGAAATTAAACTAAACTATTTTTTTTCCTCATGAGTTAAGATGTTCTGCCTAGAACCTGTGTACGAGCATATTAATACTGTCTAATCTTGAGCTTGCTACTTGAAAGTAGCTACCATTTTATAATAACTTTTATTTACCACTGTTCTTTATAATGACATCTATATTATCTGGCAAAAAAAAAATGTGCTTTACCCCACAAAGAACTTTTTTAAATTTAGGTATAATTTACATAACAATAAAACGTACAGATTTTAAGAGTGGAGTTCAATAGGTTTTTGACAAATTTATACATCTGTGTTGCCAATACCAGTCAAGGTAAAGAACATTTCCATCAGTCCAGATAGTATCTTCATGCCTTTCTCCTCTCAACACCTCCTATCCCCCAACCCAGGAAATCACTCTTCTGATGTTTTTCTACCGCAAGTTAATTTGGTCTGGTAGTAGTAATTTGTCTTCACTTAATAGTGACATTTGGAGATCATGCAATGAAGATAATTCCTGGTGTTGAATTGCTTTCTCATATTATTTTCTCACTTCCTTTGATTTGATGTCTCTTGAGGTCTCTGGCCAGCTGCCAGCTGCAGTCCAACACTACCTGCTCATCCTCGTATTATACATTTTCCCCAATGGCAGCACCTGGACACTGTCCTAGGAGTAGGTCCTGATCTCAGTTGACCTTTTTCTATGAGGTCTTATCTTTTCCCCAAATGTAGGCAGTCTGTTCTTCTGTCTTCAGGTTGCTTTTCAGAATTAGTTCTATTTGCTGTATTTTCGTGTTTTATGTGATTTTGGGGGGAGGTTTCTGCATCACTTCTCATGCCACCATGTTTTCCCAACCCCCCTCATTTGTTTTAATTTTTTAGATTTCACATGTAAGTGAAATTATATAGTACTTGTCTTTCTCTGACTTATTTCACTTAACATAATACCCTCTAGTTTCACCCATGTTGTCGCAAATGACAAGATTTCACTATTTTTTATGGCTGAGTAACATGCCATGGTATATATGGACCACATCTTTATTTATCCATCTACCAATGGACACTTAGGTCATCTTTTTTCATTTACTTGAAGATCCTGGTTCTTGGTGATTCTCCATTGAAACCTGGACATTTTCATACCATGTCTTTATATAGAATTGTGGTTCTTACTTAAACCTATTTTAGTTGGCTTTCTCTGACATTGCACTGAAGAGGGGATGCCAACATGTTACCAGCAGGTAGAGGTAGAAATCCAGGCTTCTCATTTGGTTTTCATTGATGTTTGAATGTTAAAAGTGGCTCCTCATTATTGCTGGCTATTGGGTATAATAATCTAGCACTATGTCCTGTGAAGCACAAATGGCTTTCATTTTGATAAAGTCCAATTAATACATATTTTTTCTTTTTTTACTTGTGCTTTTGGTGCAATATGTAGGCAACCATTGCTTAATCCAAGGTCACAAAGATCAACTCAATTACAAAAGCAAATCAATAGAAGAAAAGTAGCCTTTTCAACAAATGGTGCTAAAGTAACACACATAGGCTGAAAAATGAACCTTGACCTAAGTTCACACCACATAAAGAATGATCTCAGGAGCCAAGATGGCTGCGTGAGTAGAGCAGTGGAAATCTTCTCCCAAAAGCACATGTATTTTTGAAAATACAACAAAGTCAACTCTTCCTAAAAGAGAGACCAGAAGACACAGGACAACATCCAGACCACATGCACACCAGCGAGAACCCAGCGCCTCGTGAAGGGGGTAAGATACAAGCCCCGGCCTGGTGAGACCCAAGCGCCCCACACCCCAGCTCCAGGCGGGAGGAGAGGAGTCGGAGCGGGGAAGGAGAGAGAGCCCAGGACTGCTAAATAGCCAGCCCCAGCCATCCACACCAGAGAGCAGACACAGTGCATGCGTAGGGTCCTGGATACTAGGGAAACAGGACAGTAAGAGCTGTGAGCGGATCCCTGCAGCCGGAGCCCCGGGGACAAAGAAAAGCGAGTGCTTTTTGGAAGTCTTAAAGGGACAGGGACCCCACAGCTGGATGGAAGTGTCCTGGGACACTTAGCCCAGCAGCAGGGAATCTGGGGAACTCTGGGCACTCTAACCCCCTGGGCAGCAGGAAGCACAGAGGCCCCTCATGGAGATAAATAGCCTCCTGGCCGTTCCCCCTCCAATGCGGCTCCACCATATTGGAGCAGAGGCCCAAGGCAGGCCACACCCAACCCACAGCAACAGCAGAGATAAACTCCATAGCAGCCAGGCAAGAATCAGAAGCCCCGTCTGCGCGCACCTGCCCAGCACAAGCCACTAGAGGTCTCTGTTATCCCAGGAGAGGAAGGCCACAAACCAACAAGAAGGGAAGTTCTTCCAGCCGTCACTCGTGCCAGCTCTGCAAATTATCTCTATGACCATGAAAAGGCAAAATTTCAGGTAGACCAAGATAACAGAGACAACACCTGAGAAGGATACAGACCTAACCAGTCTTCCTAAAAAAGAATTCAAAATAAAAATCATAAACATGCTGATAGAGACGCAGAGAAATATATAAGAGCTACTGGTTGAAGTCCGGAGGGAGAGTACAGACACCTGGAGGGAGATTACAGATGTTTGGAAGGAGATTACAGAAGTGAAACAAACTCTGGAAGGATTTATAAGGAGAATGGATAAGATGCAAGAGGCCATTGATGGAATAGAAACCAGAGAACAGGAATGCATAGAACCTGACACAGAGAGAGATCAAAGGATCTCCAGGAATGAAACAATATTAAGAGAACTGTGTGACCAATCCAAAAGGAACAATATCCGTATTATAGGGGTACCAGAAGAAGAAGAGAGAGAAAAAGGGATAGAAAGACTCTTTGAAGAAATAATTGCTGAAAACTTCCCCAAACTGGGGGAGGAAATAATCGAACAGACCACGGAAATACACAGAACTCCCAACAGAAAGGACACAAGGAGGACTACACCAAGACACATAATAATTAAAATGGCAAAGATCAAGGACAAGGAAAGAGTTTTAAAGGCAGCTAGAGAGAAAAAGGTCACCTATAAAGGGAAACCCATCAGGCTATCATCAGACTTCTCAACAGAAACCTTACAGGCCAGAAGAGAATGGTATGATATATTTAATGCAATGAAACAGAAGGGCCTTGAACCAAGGATACTGTATCCAGCATGATTATCATTTAAATATGATGGAGGGATTAAACAATTCCCAGACAAGCAAAAGTTGAG